AACCCCGTTTCTATTTAAAATGCAAAAAAAAATTAGCCAGGGATGGTGGTGGGCGTCTGTAATCCCAGCCACTCAGGAGGCTGAGACAGAGAATTGCTTGAACCCAGGAGGCAGAGGTTTCAGTGAGCCGAGATCGCACCACTGCACTCCAGCCTGGGCGACAGAGCGAGACTCGTCTTAAAAAAAAAAAAAGAAAAGAAAAGAAAAAGGAAAATGATTGAATGAATGAATAAAGTACACATTTCTTTAGAGAGACTGTGCCTCTTCCAGAAGTATGTTGAGTCTAAGATATCTCAGAAATTAGTAACTCAGGATCCTCAATATGCTTCTGGAAAGACTTTTTGTCCTTTGCCAGTCTCATTGGCCAGAAGAGGTCTCATACCACAGCCTTTGGGATGAAAGTAATGAAAAATGTTAGAGCCTAGAAAGAATATATCGTGGACATAATTTCAATTTTCAGCATATTACATATCCATTTTCTCTATATAATAATGCCAAAATTGTCTGATGTTAGCTTTTAAGACTGTGCAATACAACTTTTCTTATTATTTGTGTATCCCGCGAAGCAAAAGAAAATCATTTCGGTAAAGACATAAATCCAATTCCTGTAATTCGAACACTTTCTTCATTGTAGTGAAGTTATGAGAACGCCTATGATAAGTCCTTTAGAGGGCACAGAATTCATCTACAAAGTCAAGAGTATGATAATGGGTACATTATCCTTCTCCCTATGCTTCTAACATTAAGAGGTCTATGTACCTTGATGAAAGCAAAAAGATAAAAAGAAAAAACCACTGAGAATTTCCTCTGTAGAGGAAGTATCTCAATTTTAACAAATTTCTTTTTTCTTTTTTTTTTTTTTTTTTGAGACAGAGTCTCACTCTGTCACCCAGGCTGGAGTGCAGTGACATGATCTCAACTCACAGCAGCCTCTGCCTCCTGGGCTCAAGGGATTCTCCTGCCTCAGCCTCCCAAGTAGCTGGGATTACAGGCGCTTGCCACTGCACCTGGCTAATTTTTGTATTTTTAGTAGAAACGGGATTTCTGTCTGCCAGGCTGGTCTCGAACTGCTGGCCTCAAGTGATCTGCCCGCTTCGGCCTCCCAAAATGCTAGGATTACAAGAGTGAGCCACTGCGCCCGGCATCAATTTTAACAAATTTCTTTGGACCATTTCAAACAGGCTATATACAAGTGCATAAAATATATGCAAATATTAATGAGTTTCTAAACAACTATTACTTTGAATACTTTCATTGGAATCTTCTTGATGGAGTCCATGGGGCTACAAACTTCTTTTAAAACTTAAATTTGTGTCTTAGTAACCCAAAAGGGAAGAAGAAGTCTGGCCATATTTTGATATGCCTAGAAAATGTAGGCTAATCCACCATTATGTTTGAAAATGGATACTTCCCTCTGAAAGCTTTGTATCTTTTTTAAAAAGCTGTTTTTCTCAAATGGTATCCTGCGACAAACAACTGTACTAAAAGCACTATTTTTTTTCAAATATAAATATATTGGTATATTTTTTTCAAATATATGCCAATGTGTTCCCTTATTATACTTTGTCCAAATTAATATTTATTTACTTAAAGCAAAAGTCTAAACAGAAAAGATTTCTTAAATTACAGTAAATATGTTAAAAAAAAAAAAAACTATGTAGAAGTGAACTAGTTGCAGGCCATATCATTAGGAGTGTGTGTGTAGTGTATATGTGTGTGTGTATGTCTTAGAGTGGTACAAGTGAGTGGTTTTTGCTATATGTAATAATTCAAAGAAATTCTTTGGAGTTACTTTTACTTTTTCCCCCTAAATGGGGTATATGTTTTTAAGATTTCTAAGGTTCTTAGTTTTTCTAAGTCTCATTACACTGCAGTGAAATACAAACCATAGAATATATTTCAAGAGTAAATATATTTAGTGGTAATTTTATATAAAAAAATTTTTTTTCAATAATGGTTGCAAATTACATTGCATATCAGAAAAAATAGCTTCAATTAATAATTCACAAATGTCTTTCAATCCTGACAGAGCTCCCTTTTTAAATATTAAAGAGAAGAAATATTATAATATGTAAAATAATAAAGTGTCACTAAGTTATAAAATGTATTATTAACTCCTGTTATTTGCCCTGTGATAACATCTCAACTGATAAATAGTAGGAGTATATTATAGAGTTTTATGTTGTCATATATTTATTTTTCCTGGGAGGATTTTCAGATGGTGTCTTACATTGTTTTATTATTTTACAATAAAATAAATCAATAAGGCTAATAATAATACTGCATGTTGGGTACGTTAGCAAGGCAGTTTGCCAGGGTTGTTGTTTGCTCTCTAATTTTTTTCATAAAAATTGTCCAAAATAAAATAAGAAACTAGCATGACTGTAAAACATACTTCACAAATGAGGTAAAAATTATACCAACTCAGCATATTACATATTGAGTATAATTAACATTATTCATTTTCCAGCAGTTTTTGAGTAGGTGGCAATTTTGTAAATTTAAAATTTGTAAATAGTTTTACTCTGCAAAAGAAAATAAATGACACCAGCTATAAAAATCAAGAGTAGGAAGGATTATCATAGGAAAATAGTTTCAGAGACAGTAATTACAAAACTGTATCAACAAGAAACGATGGCATAAGAAGATAAAGTAAATAGCTAGCTGGAAAAATGGTATGCCCATGATTCTAATGTACCAAAATTTGTGGCTAAAATTTTGTTTAAGGTATTTTAAGTTTCAGATTATTCAAGTCATCCTGAAATTCAAAAAGGAAAAAAAAAAAAAAGAAAGGAAAAGAAAATGAGAAAAGAAAACCCTCTTGAATTGAGTGGGGTTTCTTGGGAGGAGAGGTGTTCACCAAATGTTGTAAACAAAATCTTGCCAAAGTCAACCTTTACATTACTTATCACCTTCAAATTTGTTTCTCTGATTGTCAGATTTCATGCAAACTGGTTCCCTCCAGGAATCCCCCAGACGCTGTGGAGCACAGACCAAGTATGGTCTCCAAAAGACTTTTTGATTCTTACTGTATTAAATACAGGTATGTCAGCATGGTCTTCTAAAATAAGGATTTAAAGTATCTAACCTATCTTATTAACATTAATGTGTAGCCAACACAGAAAAAGAACTATTCACAAGTACATCCATCTCTCCCTACATGCCCTCCTGCTTATCATGCATATCACTATAGTCAGAGTCAGAGGCCAAGATATTTCCATGCTGATGATTTAAAGCCCCTCTCATTTGCAACTGATATCTGAATGTAACACTGTAGTAATTCCCACGGGGGAATTACTGTGCTGGGATGATTCACTACACATTACACTTCATTCAACTTTAAATGGCAATGAGATAAACAATTACCATTTGCCAATTACCTCATTTTCAATAGACACATTCAGGGTCAATGTCTACAGCCTTTTAGTTTTGGATGTTCAACTTCAAGAAAAAACATCCACATGAAACTGATCAGTAGCTCAGGTAATGAATAGTAGTACCCACAATCATGCAGGGTGAAATACAGCAGTGGTGATTTTGTGTGGAGCTTCAGTGGTGTGGTAGTGGCAATGGCAGGGACTTGAAGTTTTCCTACAACATTAATTACTATCATCTAAAAAAGACATAGGTAACAACATTACACCTCATACATAACATCTAACACATTTAGAATATAAAAGGGGAAAGAAAGAATGGCTAGATGTAAAGATAAAACACTTAAGAAGTGACCAAATATCCACACCAGCTACCATGATTAGGCTAGATGTCAAAAATAAAAACTGAACAAAATTAAAGTAAGTGATTCATTTCTCTCTCATGTAAACTTTTCCAACTATCTGTGAAAAATAAAAGTCCAAGACTTGGTTCCCACCCAAAGATAAGATTGTGTATTTAGATTACTGGAGAGGAAATGAAATTAGCATTACTCTCCCATATCAGCTCCAAGAAATATACAGAGTAAAAACAATGACACTGGAACCACTAAGAAGGACTTTAGGATAAATGAGTTTCTCTGAGTCTCAAATAACAGAAAAATGGAAGACAGTGCACAGAGACAGGATAAGCTAGAAAAAAGATGAGGATATTCGTAGTGAAACCAACTGAGAGTATTTGTTAGGTTTGGTAGTGCAGACTCCTAACTACAGGGTTAAAGCCAGCTGGGAAGATCCACAGGGTCAAGTAGAGAGCTTGAGAAGCCTGAGAAGGAGTGGGGACCTGACCGTGGTCCTGAAAGAGAACAACTTGCAGATGATACTGAACCGTCTGCTAGCAACCACACAACATCCTATGTATTTTTTTCCTACTGTAGCTTAAATGAGCTAAATGTCCAATAATATTCGACCTCAAAAAACCTGAAAACTTTCTGTTATCACCAAATCAGTCATTATTCATGCCCTTCCTGAACAGCCTCTGCTTGAGTGTTAGACTCATTTCAGGATTAAGAGAGACGCTATTTTAGCTCAAAAGCAGGAATCAAGGTTCTGACAAACTCACAACACTTAAAATTCTACAGAAAGCTTACACTTGGCAATCCTGCATTTCTTAAACTCAGTAAATCATACCTATCCGAAAGATATCACGGAATGAGGCTCCAAAAAAGAGCACGCCAAGCTCTCCTTTCAATCTAGGGAGACTTGAAACTCTAGAAAGGTAAGGTACACCGATATTCCCATTTTCACCTCAGAAAATTGCAACCAATTCCCTAAAGATACACCAAAATGCGGGTCCCATAGTGAATATGGGCGTCGGTCTTTCCTCAGGCTACGTTTCAGTTCTTACAAACCCAAGAACTCAAGAGAGCCAACTATTACACCAATACAAAGTGTTAATACTACACCAAACCATGAGGGGACAAATTTCTCCCCACAAAAGATACCTTGGCAAGAACAGAAGAAAATTCACTCTGCTGGTGCAGAAGGGAAGGTGGGAGCAAAAGTAATGTGTACGAGAAAAATCAGTCTCAGAAAATGACATACCACTCGTCCAAGTGTAAGACTTACGTGTTCCGTCAAAACGGGTGGCGATGGTGTCCAGGAAGGTGTTTTGCGGCGCCAGTAATCCTTTCATAACCGGCATTTTTCCAGAGTGGTGTGAAATTCTCCATCAAAGTTTGTCCAGAAGGATGGTTCGAAAGGAAAGTGCCAAGAAGGGAGAAGGGGAACCTGATGACGGCAGGGAAGGGGAACCCGGCCTGACGGCGGGGCCGACCAGGGGAAGTGGAAGGATGGAGGGAGAGAAGGAGAGAGTTCCAGCCGCCCTGGCTGTGGCAAGAGCAGCCCCGAGAGCGCTCCCCGAGCCCGCCCCGCACCTCCAGGCTCAGCCCGGCGCAGGCTCCCTCTCCCGCCCCCTCCACCCCCGCCAGCTGCTGAAACCCCCCCACAGTCCCTCCGCGGGCAACAGTGCCCCCAGGCGCCGCCGCGCGGTGCCTCGCCCCCCACCTCGCCCGCCCGGAAAGAGCCGGCAGTGGCCCGGGGCGCCGCGCCCTGACCGACGTCTCTGGGGTCTGGGAGGGCGGCGCTGAGAGCTGGGAGAGGCGCTGAGCCTCCCGGTCTCCAAGGGGCGCCAGGAAATGAGAGCGAGCGCAACTCCCACCCCCCGGGAGCCAGTGAACAAAGACCCCTTTGTTCCGTCTCCGTCCCACTCCCGGGGAGACTGGAGTCCCGTGGGTGTGGTATTGGAGAAAGGGAGGAGACAGGTCGGAGCAGGTATCCGGCCTCGGCCTACAACTTAGGAGGGGGAGGCCCCCCAGTGGTGTCCAAGGGAGCAGAGGCAGCCAGGAGCCCCACGGGGAGGTGGCCCCCTTCCGGAGCACCTGCCATTGAGAGCCCACGCGACAGGGGCAGGGCAACCCGAGTTAGTTGTGAGGCCCATGCCCAGTCACTAGGGTCTTTTAGTCCAGGAAACTGGCCCCGATCTCCAAAAAGGGGTGCTTCAGCCCTTCTCCCCTAATTGCCATTGGCCTCCCCAAGCCATCCCAAACTTTAAAAAAAAAATAGCCTTTTAAACGAACAATGGATGGTTTCACAATCTCCGGTAAAATGTAAATAAAGCATTTCTAGAAAAGTTTGCTATTTTTATTAATTTGCAAAATACCACGTAAGTAAAAACAGTAAGGCTGCCTTCCAAAAATAGTTTCAAACACAAATCCCCTACCCTGTCCCCCTTTTCCCCAGGCCCCACTCCCCAAGACTGACACCTCCAAGAAGAAAGCCTGGCGGTCGGCCAGGAACTGAAGGCGTCTCAGAAAACCAAAGTGGTCTCTCCCAGTCCTCTCCCCTGGCCCCCGCAGGGACTCCCTCTCCGCCGACGTTCTGCGAGGAAAGTCGCCCAAGCCTGCGGCACAGCCCTGTGGGGAGTGCAAGAGGACACCCCGAGCCTGAACTTTACAGAAAACTCTGAAAGGGAGGCGGGGTGTGGAAGGGAAGTTGAGAGCCCCAGGGTAGAAAAACAAACGTAAGCCCAGGTGCTAGTGCACCCGGAAGGAAAGGAGGGGGAAAGCAAACAGGTGTCAGAGCCGCGGAGAGGGCAGCTCTGATCTCCAGGGACTCGAGCGTGACAGGAGGAGGGACCGAGCTTCCACCTCCCTTTACTGTGGGTAAGGGGGTTTCTTGTTTCAAATTCCCTCGGCCGTTGGGGCTTTGTGGGGGGACCCCGCGAGTTTCATCACATCTGCCCTGGGCTCCGTGAGGGAGGGGGTGGAGAGAGAGAGGCGGCATCCCCCTCTCCCCGCCCCCAGGCCCCCTTTCTCGTGATGCACTTCCTGCGGCCGAGGATTCCCTTTGTGTTGAAATTCGAGAAGATCCGGCAGAGGCTCTGGGCTAGCTGGGCGGGGGCGTGCCGGGGAGGGGAGGGGATTCCGGAGTGGGCGGCGCGGGACGGCCATCCCAGAAGAGGAGCCATCAACGTGGGGTTCCTCGCCCAGCTGGACCCTGTTTCTGCCGCAGGTCCATCCCTATCCTCCCCTCAATCCTTGTGTCCCAACCCAGCTTCGCTTTTCGGAAACCGAGCTCACGCGGGTGAAGTCCCCCACGCGGCGAGCGGATCGCAACTGCGGGTGGCTATGTGGCTCCGTCTTGGGCGGAGCTGGGGAGAAAAAGATGAGGGAGTCCCTGGTGTTTGGGTGGCGCATCGTGTCCCAGAAAATTCAGGCTGTTGCTGCCGATGTAAAACGGAGATAAACGCCACCCGTGAATTGGCTTGAAGTTCAGGATGAAATGTATTAGTTGTGAGCCATGACTCGGGTTCATACAGTTTGCACTGTAGGGCCGTGTGTGTAAAAATTGTTTCCTCGTGGTCCTGGTCTATGTTGCCTAATGTATGAAATCACTGCACGAAGCAAGCCACAGAGGGGATTAAAAATGACAACCCAAAAGAAAGCCCCAGTTTCATGGCAAAAGGAGCCCGGCATTTATCATTCACTGTCTCCCCTCCAACACCTATTATGTGTCAGAAACTATGCTAGGCATGGCAAGATCCCTGCCCTAAATTCAAATTCAAGTCCTGTATCCTACTGAACTGCAGTAGATGGACCTCACTATCTCTTATATCCTTTGTCCACCAAGAAGTCTTTCTTAATGAAGACTGCCATCACCACTCTGGTCTTGAGTTCCAGGCCCTTTTTAAGCTCTGGCCCGAAAGCCTAATGTTCATCTTAAGGGTTTGTGGCATCGATGAGGCTAAATTGTGCCATTAGAACATGACCTCCATCCAAGTTTAAGTATATTAAATCCCTTTAAACATGTTTTGCCACCTAGAAATCAAAGGCCATGAAAGAAGCATCATGGGAGTCTAGAGTTTTCACTGTCATCTGCCCCAAATCATCAAATCTCATGGGCTTTCCTTAGAGGAAATTTTCCCACTGTCCCCACTTACTGACACAAAAAAACCCCAACTCATTTTATTGCAGATTCCTTCTCCACTACAGGGATGTGATCTTTCTCTATGGCCTAAACCAGACAATGCTACAAGAATATAGGATAACCACATAATAGAGTAAACTTAATGCCCTCATTAAAAAATTGATGTTTTTAATATCAATATTTTTGGGGCTTTGGAGGGATAGCATTAGGAGAAATACCTAATGTCGATGGGTGCAGCAACCCAACATGGCACATGTATACCGATGTAACAAACCTGCACATTGTGCACATGTATCCTAATAATAAAAAAATTCTTGGCCGGGCACGGTGGCTCATGCCTGTAATCCCAGCACTTTGGGAGGCCGAGGCAGGCGGATCATGAGGTCAGGAGATCGAGACCATCCTGGCTAACACTGTGAAACTCTGCCTCTACTAAAAATACTAAAAATTAGCTGGGCGTGGTTGTGGGCTCCTGCAGTCCCAGCTACTCAGGAGGCTGAGGCAGGAGAATGGCGTGAACCCAGGAGGCGGAGCTTGCAGTGAGCTGAGATCGTGCCACTGCACTCCAGCCCGGGCAACACAGCAAGACTCCGTCTCAAAAAAAAAAAAATTCATGTTCACAGAAAAGATCATTTTATTTGACTTTAAAATGTAAAGGAAGGCACAAAATCCCTATATCCAGACCAAGGTACTCTATTATGTACTACAGAAGGCCTCTTTAGGTAAAACCAACCTAGGCAAAGTTCACTTATATAATAAACCACCCCAAACCCTATTGACTTAAAATGACAATATTGTATTTTGCTTTCAGATCTCCAATTTTTACAGGGATCAATGTGGCAGGTTATTTCTGAGTACACTTAACCTGGAACTGGAAAATACACTTCTAAGATAGTTCACTCGAAGTGATGGAAATTTGGTGCTGGCTGTCAGCTGGGAGCTCAGCCAGTGCTAGAGCCTTGGGACTTCAGTTATTGGTGTGGATCTCTCCAGGAACTACTTGGGCTTCCTCACAGCATGGTGGTTTCGAGAGTGTCTGAAAAGACAGGAAGTGGGAACTGCCAGTTTCTTAAGGCCTGATGTAGAAACAGCCAGATTGAAAGCAGGCACAGATCCCAGGTTAATCAGAAAGGGTGAAAAGTCCAACCTTTAGATGGAACAAGTATCAGATAAAATGGAGCCATGTTTTAAAATCTTCCCATCAATTTGTTAGTATTTTGAGTTTCAAAGGAAATTACATCATAGTAGCATTCCTTAATGTGATTAAAAATCCATTTTTACCTATTCTTTTTGTCTCCATAAGCATTTGAGATTTAAGAGTACAAGATCTGGGTTCAACTCTATAATTCCTTATAGGGAAAGTATAATACACAAGAGAGAAAATACACATTAAATTCACTTAATAGTTATAAGCCACAGATAAAGCAATTTTTATTATTATTTTCTTTAAGACTGACTCATTAGCATTTGATGTTGTCTTCTCAGACTGAATGGAACTGGAAAGAGTTTCAGGGCTCTCCGTATTAGTGTGATGGTTTTAGGTCCACTTCATGTGTATTTTCTAATTATAGCATTCATCCAATACCATGACACAAAATAGCTGCAAATACCTTATTGATGCATATGTATTTGACTGTAGGCACTGAAAATATTCTTAAACTTTTTCTGGCAGCAAGAATTTTAGCCTTCATAAGAAGGAAATATTTTAATTTACAGGCATCTACTCAGATGTATTGAGTTCCAATTTTGTTTCAACCACTTATTCCCTTTGTCATTTAAACTTTGTGAGTTTCCATTTCCTTCACTGTAAAACTGGAATAATAATATTTTCCCTACTTCCTCCACTGAGTAGAAGAAAATATTTGTGAAAGCCTTCGAATCTCATAATATGTGGCATGCAATAAAACAGATGATAATAATCATCATTCTCTTTTTTTGTATCCTAACATATCTAATACAAGTTGTTTATCCACAATAAATATTGTTGACCAACTATTACAATGTATGGTCCTGTTAGAACACATTTCTGTATTAATAATTTGTTACAGCCTATGATTTGTGAGCTTTTCCTTCCAAATATGAATGACTTTAGAAGTTCAGAAGGAAAATCAAGCTAGTTCATTTCTTTGACTAATGCTTTCAAGTTGTTCTGCTCTAATATCCAACCAAGCTGCTCCCCAGCGTTCACTGCCTCCTGTTCCCCAATGGTCACTGCCTACTTTGCAGTGTATGTAGAAACTAAAATACTCCAGCACAGTCTCCAAAGCTATGGTTTCAGTCAGAGTAATCTAGGTTATGCCTCAATAAAAAATATCATATCTCAATGGTTTATTACAATAATGCTATTTCTTGCTCAGTCTACATGTCCCACCTGAGTTGGCAAGAGCCTGCTCATTATTGGGGCCCAGATTGATGGAAGTTCTGCTCAAAAGGTATTTTCTTTGAAGAGAAAAAGATAATCTGGCAAAGCATATGCTGTTTTATCAAACTTCCACTTACAACTTAATGACCAAAATAAGTCATATGGCCATCCTAATTTTAAAGAGGTGGTAAAATACAATCCAACCCTTGCCCTCAAAGAAAAGGAACTCTGGAATATTCAAGAACTGACATTTGGTAGCAATGGAGGTACACTGTTTGGATCTCATGTCAAGAGAACCTGGTGGGAGAAGTGTTGCTGATGACAGTCTTCAGCTGCCACATCTTCAAATCTGCCACATGGTCCATGCCAGCCGATGGCCAAACGTGCCAATAGTAAAGCTCAGCCCTTTCTATCCTGTGTGGGGCTCTTCTAATAGGTAATCTCTGTGCCAGGATTCCTCATTAGCTTGACAAAGACTTTCTCAGTAGTGCACCATTCTTCCTACACACTGTTCCTTCCCTCTCCTTCCCAGGTGTCAACTCTGGATCACAGTCTGAACACTCTTCCTGCCCCTCTGCCTACCTTTACCCTTCACATGCTCTTTCTTCAGTGTCTGCTTCTGTCTTGGTGTCTGCTTGATGGAGGATCCAGATTGACCCTGGCATATCAGGGAGGTTTTCTGAGAGGAAAGAACCATGAGCCCATTTCCTAAATTCTACAGCTAATAAAGAATCTTGAATAGAAAACAAATAAACAAACAAAAAACACCTCACATATGTCTTTGTTGCCTTCACTCCAGCGCATCCTTTTCCTTTGCTCCCTATTTTTCATCCGTGATTTGCCACTAGCCCAAAATACAATCTGGGAACCAATCTTGATTATCCTCTTCTTACATTAAAATACATAATCTATCACTAGTTTCTATTACCTCTAACTTCATAAAATCTGTAGAATCTGTCCTTTTTCCATGTTCTGCTGTTACTCTTTTAATCGATATACTTATTATTTCTTACTATAACTATTTTTCTTAACTGGTCTTCCTGCCACAAACCATTCTTCTTGAATTCATCCTTTATACTGCAGCCAGCATTGTGTTTTTCTATAATATAAATTAATCATGCACTCCTTCCTTAAAATCTTTGTATCTTTGAGGACAGAGCCAGAGTATATCACCTGTCAATTAAAGGCCTCTACATAGCCCTCCAGCCTTATTTTTTATGTACATAGCAAATTAACTCCTCCATCATTTTATGTTTGACACTTGCTCAATTATGTACAATTCCCAGAACATGACGTCTTCTTTCAGGCCTCCATCTCTTTAACGCTGTCACCCTTATTTCAAATGACTATCTCATACTTGCTAACTTTCCTCACCAGTTGAACTCATGACTCAAAGATTATCTTTAACATCACTTCCAGTGAAACCTTTGAATTTTCTAATCAACTTAAGTACTCATTTTGTATGTGTCCCTATAGTAACTCG